ACGAATCTGGCCTCTCAGTCATTTTACAAATCGACATCCATGATTGGGGTTACTGCATGTTTTGTCTGTGTTGCAGATAGATGTGCAGCATGACCCTGTTAGCTTCACACACCCCTAAGAAGGCTTTGCATGTTATGATTCGCCTCATCTTTTTGAACTATACATATGTGCTACCTGTTCTGTTTGTGTATCTTGTGCGTTTTTGTTTTAATTGTGGCCTAAGTTGAACACTTCCGGATGCTTCCAATCTGCTGTGAGCCGAATGTGGCAAGACGGATGACCCGTTTGCTCGCAAAAGCTTGCATTTAGTTGAACATCAATTGTCCGGCAGATACGGAACAAATCCTCACAATAAGCGTATTTACATGCTGGCCGTCGGGGGCACGTATCATACATGTATATATGGGGCATGTATACCCCGTTTTATGAAATTTATTACATGTTTAAATATTCCGCAACTAAATAAAGTGTCCAACAAATCTGAGGTAGGCAAGGAAGAATAGCTGGATGGAAGACATCCCATACTGCTTTGAGTCGGCGAGACTGCGACGCACTAACTTGGGGTTTCAATGACAAACGAACTTGTCCCCATGGCAAACCTGTATGCTTACCAGTTGATAAAATTGTCTGTGTAGACGTCTATCGTCCGGTTTCTGTACCACCGAGCCAAATCGACGGTCCCAGGCTGCTTGACCCACGCATGAACCTGATCCAGTCCGGCCCCTGATGTGCCTTACCCTTCACAATACGCTGTGCGCGGACCCCGGTCCAGCCGTGGCCTCTCCTACCCGCTGTGCGGGCCCCGGTCCAGCCGTGCCCTCTCCTACCCGCCGTGCGGGCCCCGGTCCGGCCGTGGCTTCTCCTACCCGCAGTGCGGGCCCCGGTCCGGCCGTGGCCTCTCCTACCCGCAGTGCGGGCCCCGGTCCGGCCGTGGCCTCTCCTACCCGCAGTGCGGGCCCCGGTCCGGCCGTGGCCTCTCCTAGCCGCTGTGCGGGCCCCGGTTCGGCCGTGCCCTCCCCTATCCGCCGGGCGGGCCCCGGTCCAGCCGCGCACTCCCCTATCCGCCGGGCGGGCCCAGGTCTGCGTACCGTCTCGGCCAGGAGAGACCCTCACTTCGCTGAGCGGTGCCAAGGAGTGGCAAGCGAGAGCAGCCCGCTGCCTGGTGAGGGGCGCTACCGCCGACAGAGCGGTGGCGGCGGCGACGGCGGCCGGCGGCGGCAGGTCAGCAGCCGAGCAGGAACTGGGCACTGCACGGGTCCTGGCAGCTCAATCAGGAGCACACCACCACAGCAGCCGAACAGACGCTGAGCATGGCACGGGTCCTGGCCGCTCAATCAGGAGCACACCACCACAGCAATCGAACAGGAGCTGAGCATGGCACGGGTCCTGGCAGCTCAATCAGGAGCACACCACCACAGCAGCCGAACAGGGGCTGAGCACGGCACGGGTCCTGGCTGAGCTGCCAGGAGCACGCCACCACAGCAGCTCACCACAGATGCGGAGCACCACGACAGATGAAGTGAGCACGCAACCCGAATACACAACCCCAACACACAACTCCGACACACAACCCAAACACACAGGGGGGGGGGGGGGGATGTGACGCATCAGCGGTAGCTAATAGAACAGGGGTACGCGAAAATGCAGCACAGCGCTCAGATCACGAGAGGAATTGGAACGATGGCGGAACACCGCATTTGTCAAGTTGGTCGGACCGGGACTCAGCGCTTTGCGCTAATACAGTCAGACCACACACGCGGTGGTGCGGTGTGTGAAGTCAACCCATCTAGACGCGTCGGCATGCCGTCTGGAATGACAAATCCCACATTCCTGTCGGAGAAACTGGACCTGCCCCTCAAACACAGAGCCAGGACTGAGACCCTGTGCCGGCAAACAGCCGAGCCATTCACACGGGTTAGCTGTGGGGCGGGCGAGGGCGCGTGACGAACGGTGACGCTGGTGACAGGGCACGCCGCGCCAGTGGCGGCCACTGCACCCAGGGCGACAGATGGAGAACAAAGACGTCGCAGTGCTCGTGCTGCCTGAAATTTGCTGTGGGAGATCATAACAGAGTCTGATCAAAACGGACACGGTGGCGGTGGCCGGCTGCGCAGCAGGTGCGTCTCCACACTATACCTGCGCCTGCTCACCGACGTGCCACACTCGCACATGTGACTACGGGTTTGGCGAGCAGTCAGCCAGCGAGGCAGAGGCCCGGCCGTCCCGCCCGCCGCTCGTTGACACTCACCTGGGACAGACCCCGGTGTACGGAGACCGTTCCGCCTACCAGTCGCTGGAACTGACCTGTGATAGACGCAGATATGCGGAGGTCGTCCCACCCGCGTGCCCGCCGCTCGCTGGCACTGACCTGCGATAGACTCAAATGTACGGAGGTCGTCCAGCCCGCCGCTCGCTGGCATTGACCTGCGATAGACCCAGATGTATATAAGCCGTCCCTCCCGCCGCTCGCTGGCACTGACCTGCGATAGACCCAGATGTATATAAGCCGTCCCCCCGCCGCTCGCTGGCACTGACCTGCGATAGACCCAGATGTATATAGGCTGTCCCTCCCGCCGCTCGCTGGCACTGACCTGCGATAGACTCAGATGTATATAGGCCGTCCCGCCCGCCGCTCGCTGGCACTGACCTGCGATAGACCCAGATGTATATGGGCCGTCCCGCCCGCCGCTCGCCGGCACTGACCTGCGATAGACCCAGATGTATATAGGCCGTCCCTCCCGCCGCTCGCTGGCACTAACCTGTCATAGACTCAAATGTACGGAGGTCGTCCCGCCCGCCGCTCGCCGGTACTGACCTGCGATAGACCCAGATGTACGGAGGCCGTCTCGGAGATGTAGATAACGGTGCCATCCGAGGCCACGATGAACACGAACCCCTCCAGCGTCTGCGCACGCAGGCCACCAATCGTTGGTCCCAGAATTGCGAGCGTCCATTCAACTCCGGTGTTCGTAATGCGAGTAGCCAGAGTGTACGGTAAATCGAGACCGCGGTCGAGAGATTCGGCAGATGTGAACCATCCGGCGCACTGTGCAGTTAGGTTATAATATCTCAGTAAACGGATTGAGTGCTTGAGTCTACCTTAATCCACTGGTAATGAAAGCTTGGCTCTATCCCGACACATGGGTTAGATGTTTAACTATCTTTACCAGGGTGGAACATGGGCCGAAAAGAACTGAGACGGCCTGACGGAGAAAAGAACTGGGCACACGGTAGAATAGTTTCTCTAAGAATCGTGGTCCATAAGAGGTTGTCCAAAATAGCTCGTGTATTGACTGCAGGCAACACGATATGCGCAAATCCTCAAGGGCCTTAGCTGACCACACCATGCCACGTCACCATGGAAATTTGATTAGTAACGATTTTAATGCGATAGATTTAGCATTATCACAAAACATCTCTATGACATACCTAATACTGATACTGCAGCACTGTAATGCAAAGGATTCAGCCAAACTAAACGTAACAGATAATATTGGCATTATCGTCAATTCCCAGAGCCATTCTTCCTAATTCTCCGCATGGCTCCTGATCTGGTAAGTTGTTTTGACATACAAAAATCTGCGATACGAACGTACGCACTTACGAGCATCTACTGTGTCGTCGGCTGCGACAATAACACACCGCTTACAAACACTAGCGTTAGCAGCATCTTATATATGAGCGGTAGCAATGGTGAACGATCGCAGATGAAAACATTTCCACGCAAGAACTTCTGCAGCCTCGGACGTCTGCAATACGAACATAAGCGCTTACGTACGTCAGCGCTTAGAACATTGAAGCTCGAACAGCTGCCTTCCAGCATAAATGATACGAACATTCATTCGACCGCCAAATCATCGGCCTTTACGTCATAGTTCGGCAAGACGGTCCCACAGCATCGCCCACTGGCCTCACTGGCTTCTTCACCAGTGCGACCCGGAGCGACGCTGACAGCGTACCTGTAGCAGGAGTGAGCCCAGCTCTTTGATCTTGCTCTCCATCAGTTGGGAGCCCCAGGCGACGCCCAAGCCTGAGGAGCAGAGGGCACCGGCTGGCATTGATTGCGGCCTCGCTGGCGGCCAAGAGCAGCGTCGCACAGTGTCGCCGGCTAGAGACTCCCACTGTCCAGAGCCGTGCAATGCTGTGACAGGGTGGTGAGCTGTGCGCAGAGTTTCAGGTGGGAGAAACAATCTGCCGTTGCGCCCGCGTTGGAATTAAAGTGCTACGTTTGATATGACAATTTTTGCCGCTTTCTAAACATACAGAAGTTGGAGAACTTTTCGGCACCCTCAGTCCTTCTCAGCACCCAAATGGAAGTGCATGATTCAAGAAAAGGGCTGCAGGTTATCGCAGTCAGTGAGTCAAAATGCCGCCAATGACATTGAAATCTATTCTATGCTTCAAAACAAAGCATCTGTTGGTGTTCTTACAACCGATGTCAACTATTGTTCCTGCCCTAGCATCTGCACTGATTTTGACTTCGATTTGGGTGCTTATCATGCAAAACGTAATCATGGTGTGTTGCAGACAGCTGAACACTACCATTTGATACAAATCGGGTTCTGACATCAGTGACAAAATGTGCATATCATTCACCCACTCTAAACATCCAGAACTTTCAAGATATCTGCGTTTCTACTGGCTGCATCCTGAGCTGACGACGGTGTCCGTGATCCAGTGCCTACTAAGTAGTTTCACCCGGACAGCAAAGTTTGTGGGTCTGTCGATCCAGCTCCAGCGTCCGCATCAGCGTGTTTGTATCCGTCGTCACGAGCCAGTCTAGCACGCAGCTGCCCTCACATTCCCGTCTGACAAGTCACGTGCCGGGAAGTGGAATTCTTCTGGACAGGTGGAGAGTCTGTCTCGTTTATCGGGGGATAACAGGCCGCGCGCGGATGAGATGTGTTTCTCCGCCCACCTGCTGCACGTGACAGTGTTGTAGCCAGTGTCGTTCCGCGACCTAATTGTACTCTAATCTGTATGATCAAGGCGATCTGTATCTGACCTGCTGGTTGTGGAGTTAATTACTCCAAACTAATGGACTAAGGTCTCGATTTAATCTTACTCGATGGGGTATTAATGCGAATGCGATTACAAAGGAAACACAGCGCTGCCTTACCGCTGTTAACAGTGACAGAGCCCGGGGTAGGAAACATTCATCTCACATTGTTTTGGGTATGTTGGGCTGGCCTCTGTCGTTGGCTCGAGCAGCGCCATAGTTTGTCTCCGGAAAGAGAGCGATAGCTAAACGCTTTGAGGCATGTTACTGTCGGAACGGGTAAATGAATACGACCGTCTGCGTTACTGTCACCGACCTTATCAAATGAAGCATGCGAACACATTCGCAGCTAATCGACAGTGCACGACAACAAGGACAAATAGAAATAATTCACTGGCTGGATCTTTGAACATTCATTGGAAGTGCGAGAAATTCAAGATCGCTTATCTTTCGGTTGGAGTCATGTCTTTAGCTGCAATACACCACATAGGCAGAGTAGCGTCGGGAAAATGGCAGCCATCTACACACACGTGAATGTTTTTTATGCTGCAGAGTTAGAAGGAGACCTGCACGATCAAACACCCCAGGTCATTTGGCAAAATACCAGGAGTCACGGGTTTATCACTCCTGACATCCAGTGCAAGGACTCGGTCCTGCAGTCCCTAAGGCGTGGCGGCTGGTCTTTCAGTGTCAGGGTACGATGTAGCCTGGTCTCCGGTGGCCTGCCCGGCGAAGCAGGGCGAGCCGGGGTCGCTTGCCGAGGCGTCGGGCCGGGCGCACCACCTGTGTCAACACCCGCCGCCGGATGCGCCTCAGCGCCGTGAACCTGAACCCCTCCGTCACCCTGCCGCTCTCGTCTTCCCTGTGCCCTAGACTCGGCTCCGCTGGTCCGCTGTTCGGCGCCATCAACCGGAGCTCTCTGTCACCCTGTCCGCTCTTGTCTTCCCTGTGCCCTAGACTCGGCTCCGCTGGTCCGCTGTCCGGCGCCGTCGCACGAGCACGTGGGGCCTCGAAAGTGTCAGGGCCCGCCCGTGCCTGGCACGCGTCTCCGGGTCGTAGCCGGATCCCACCACCGCCGCCTACTCAGCGCTCAGTAGCAGTATAGACTGGCCGTACGTCACCAGACCCGGCTGTCGCCGCATCGACGTCCCCAGACTGCGGTTTGACCATGTCAACCGCCAGGAGCGCCCCGAGCGGCTCTAGCAGACTGCAGGTCAGCACGGAGCATCAGGCAGGACTGACCCACGCCACCAGACCGGACTACATCTGCTTCACGACACCCGCCGTCCTCACATAACGGGACAGGACTGTCCTCACATGACTGAACCGGACCGTCCTCATATGACTGGACCGGACTGTCCTCACATAACTGGCCCGGACTGTCCTCATATAACCGACCCGGACTGTCCTCACATAACTGGCTCGGCCTGTCCTCACATGACTGGACCGGACTCTTCTCATCAGATCGTACCATCCTCACATCACCTTACTGAAACATCGCCTCACCAGACCGGACTGTCCTCACATGACCTGACTGGACCCTCCTCATCAGATCACACCATCGTCGTCGTCCTCATCGTCGATCACAAAGAGATGCGTTTTATAGGGTCTAAGCAACGCGTCTGTCAGCGACTAAGTGTCGCTGCTTGGCTGGCCCAACATTTGTTCAGATGCCGTGGCACGCCACCGCAAGCATCAGGGTCCAGTCACGCGGAACAGAGCTATAAAGCTCTGAAGTCAAAATGTGCGAGCACGCAGGTCGGCGCAAGGGTCTCGATCCGCAGTTATACATGACTAAGACTTGATTTCAAAGTGTACGGGCTGCCGTTCCATTGTATTAAATCAGGTCATGTCGCCACGAACGCCACCTTCGCGCCACGACCTTGGCTGCGGAGCGGCAGCGCCGAGCGTTTCTCGCGCGCACCTCCGTGGGGTCTCTGGCCGTACTCCGCACCCTATTCAGCGCCGGCCGGGGTCGGGACGGGCCAAGCGGCTCAGAAGACCTGCAGCAGACCCGGCGGCCTATTGTCGGCGCGGCAGGCGGCGCCCAGTGTCGGCGCCGCGGCCGGTGGGGTGTGGGCGGCCCCTGAGGTCAGTAGAGCGGCCCGCCGTCTCACGGACGCCACCGAAGGTCCCAGCTCAGCGGCGCCGTGGCACAGTCGTGCGAAGCGTGCTGCGTGCTGTTCACCGCGCTGCACGGTGTGCCATAGGGGCATCCATAAATTACGCTGCGCATTTTGCGTCATTTCAACTCTCTTCCCCGGGTTACGCACTGCGCTGAGCAGACCCCCACCCATCCCCACGGTTACGCTGTGTTAAGCGTCAGATCCTCAAAACGCAGCGTCTGTTTGCCTCCAAACCGAGGTAGAGGGGCGACACAAAGATGAACACATTCCTTGTCCTGGGAGGAAGCCGACAGCATTCGGCTTAAAGGTTTAACAGTATTTTAAAACGTAATTTACGATGATCATCAACTACGCCTCAGCATATTCTCACACTGTTGAGGCCCCTCCACTTCCCTCTTACTACATTTCGATTATGCTCCATCTTCGGAATAGACATCTTTCCCTCCAAACGTAACTTTATACGTGAACGACGCACATAGGCACGTACCTCATGCTCAGCCTCGGACCCTCTACCGCATGCTGCACACCGTATGCAAGGTCCACTAAGCTGAAGCCCTCACCGCGTGCTGCACACCGTGTACAAGGTCCGCTGCAGCCCTCACCACGTGCTGCACACCGTCTACAAGATCCACTCCGCTGCAGCCCTCACCGCGTGCTGCACACCGTGTACAAGGTCTGCTGCAGCCCTCACTACGTGCTGCACACCGTCTACAAGATCCACTCTGCTGCAGCCCTCACCGCGCGCTGCACACCGTGTACAAGGTCCGCTGCAGCCCCCACCGCGTGCTGTACACCGTGTACAAGGTCCGCTGCAGCCCCCACCGCGTGCTGCATACTGTGTACAAGGTCCGCTGCAGCCCCCACCGCGTGCTGCATACCGTGTACAAGGTCCGCTGCAGCCCCCACCGCGTGCTGCACACCGTGTACAAGGAGGAGGCTCATGGGTGTCATGACGCACAAACTTTCCGAGAAAGTTGAGCACTTGTCCTACGAATGAAAATAATCCATTTCAGAATTGGTTTTCGCATTCCCACTTTCTAAGTCGTTTCTCCCCTATGTTCCGATCACGCACACTTGGCCGTGCAGAATAGTACGATGCTGCTGTTATTTTCTTTGCTCAAAGTACACACAGTAAGCAGGTGCTAGATCTTAAGTTGTTTCAGCTGTGGTCAGTTTCATTATCGCGATAACCTGTGTTGTTCCCAAATATCTTTGGACAAGCAAGTCCCTCTCTATCGATCGAAAACTCAGGGGCGTACGCATACAGTAACCCGCGGGACGCGTGCCCCTGCCCTTCCCCTTGATAACTTAACGACATGCATGCATAGGCATGAACATGGATGCATATTGATAAAAGTCGCAGGTAGACACGTCAACATGCAAAGATCGGTAACGCGCGATGTTCTTTTACGACACGCAAGGAATTTCGCGGCGCTGCCGTGCGCTAAACATGGTTTTCAGTACCAAAAATAGCTTTGTCTTCCACAGCCCAGCCCAACTGTAAAATGCACCGTGCTTACCAAAAGTAAAAAAAATATTATTTTTACCAACTATGTTATTCATCGATGGCCAAAGATCCGATTTTCAGTAAAACTGAGTTGATTCCGGCTGGCAGTACAATTACCCTGTTTACATGGGCAGCTGTGATTCGAATTGAGCCGGGACCCGTCCTCGATCCGAACTATCCGGCCCATGTATACACTCACGCGCCGTTCCGCTGATTCGAATCGTGCGCCGGAGGAAATCCCTTCCCGTGAGAGGATCATCCGTTCAGGAAGGGATTTCGTCCGAATTATCGGCCGTCAGCTGTCTAAACAAAAAAAAAGAAAAATGCCTGGCGCACGCAGTTCTGTTCATGGCCATTTCAGCTTCGTTTGGTGTTGCCGCTTTTCCACGGGTCTTTAG